GAGAGAGAGAGAGAGAGAGAGAGAGAGAGAGAGAGAGAGAGAGAGAGCGACTTCACTTTACTCCACTGTATCTTTACATAGGTAATCGGTGTTTGCTGCTCCGTTAATGCTCTGAATATGATGTAGAAGCCCTTTCAAAAACAATGGCAATCATGTTTTCCAAAATGTCCAACTATATCTTTTAGATGAAATATGTAGCAAACACGTGTAGGGGGTTAGCAGCCCCGAACGTGTTCCTGTCCCTCAGCTTTATGATGAGAACTCCACAACTGAACATTCTCAGCACCTGCTCAGCTTCTGCTTCACACACGTGTTCACCAGCACACAGACACTTTCTGTTTTTCCTTTTGTTTTTTTCACAGGGCGGGAGGTTTCTTCGAATGGTCTTCAATAACCCGAGCAACAAACGACTGATATTGTTTCGCTGCTTTGTTAAGGTGCACCAGAGGAAGCCGGAGCAGGGCTGTATGTAAGAGCACTGGTTGAGTCAGGAAGCGCTACACCTGTTCCCGTCTCCGAGGAGAACACAGCTGCCCCCCAACCCCCGTCTTTCGACACACACCGCAGTTCACAAAACACAGTTCTCTGATCCCCTGTACGCTGGAGGTGTGCTTAAATCTGTAAAAACATCTGCCCGGTAAACACCACAAAGGCATCCGCAGTGGCCTAACTTTGCTTTTAGCTGATGGCTCACCCTCGTTATTATCCTCTGTAATGATACACAGGCGCGCTAACATATCTGCAGAGGAATAGTGCTCGGTTTTAATCGCCGACACACCGCACTCGGTTCCGGTATCCACTTCAGGAAGCTCTGGGAGAGCAGAGACGGAAACGGGGAAAGGAAGCTTCCCGCGCATCCTAAACTCCGTCCTCGGGTTACAGCTTGCTAATTAGTGCTCGTTAGGCTAGCTAGCCAGGCCCGCGTGACGTGGAGGGGAAAAAACGTACTCGGCTCCCACGTGCAGACTCCCATTTGCTGGGATATTAAGCACAGTCTGAAGGCCAAGCCTCTCCAGAGAGCAGAGCGCGCTGTGTGTGTGTGTGTAGTAACATGTGTGCACGCGGCCCTTGCTGCGTGATATCTATCCGCCGCAATACATCAGGACAAGATTCATCACCTAATTATCAGTCACAGTCTCAACAAGTACCTTACCTAACATTATGAAAAGGGGCTTGCCATTCAGTTCTTACAAAGAGCGTGATGCTCGTACCTGTGGCCTTTGATGCTAATTCGTTTTCTCATCCTATTGTGAACAACAGCATTCAGGATGGGGTTTTTTCTCCCCCGGCGCCGCATGCCTCATTCCAGGCTGGCGAACATGTCATGATGAAGGGCCCGGACTGTAAGATCCATTTCAGCTATAATGACAGGCACATTATTGGATTATCACATTACAGGGGTTAGGGTTTCATACGCGCTGCCCGCATCGATAGAAAAACATGTACGTCTGGAAATAACGGGGTGATCGATGATACCTTTTTTTCCGCAGGCGAGACTCTAATCGATGCGCGTGTTTGTCCCCTCCGCAGTGAAGGAGGATTGCGCGTCGGACGCCGAGGATGACGGGAGCACGGACGCCCTGGTGGAGGAGATGCTGCAGCAAGGGGACACGGCCGTCATCTACCCAGAGGCCCCGGAGGACGAGCCTCAGCGCCAGGGCACCCCCGACGCCGGCGTCCATGACGAGAACGGTACGGGACATCCCCGCACAGCATTCATGTAAAAAAGAAAAAACTATAATAACACTCTTAGCAAAATCATTTTGGTGTACATTTCCTTTGATTACTTTAAATGTCATTCATATCCCTGTTAGTAGTGCACACAAGCCAGGTGTATTGTCCTTAAATCACACAAGCTGAAACACACACTATCCACCCGAGAGCTCACAGTCACCGAGCTCTCACACTATTACTGCACCTACCCAGTAATTACTCCCCCCCCCCCGGCTCTACCTTCTCCCCCGTCTCACCTTTAGGTGTTAACTCCCCCCCATTAACGCCACTCTCCGACATCATTACAACACGGCGTTATTTGTTAAGTGCGGCACACTGGGGCCCTTTATTGCTCCCGGGCTTTTTTGCCTTTTACCTGCTGCCACCAAGGAGGGATGGGGGGGGGCGAGGGCCCCTGGAGGGAGAGGGGAGGAAGAGAAACTGTAACACCTGAGCAAATTTGTCACGTCCGCGCGAGCTCTTGGCTCACAGCTACCTGGGCGATAATGTGTGTGCATTCCCGTCCCGAGGCCCTCACCAATACATCACCTGTTAACGAATTAATGCTTCACCTGTGTGGGAGCCAGGCAACCGAGACCCTCTGTCAGCCCAGCTCGGATCTCTGCAGGCGGCTGCTGTTTACCCAGCTCATGTTTCCTTACATGCGTGGGTGTTTTCTGAACGGCTCCGAGCGCACAATGGGCAATCAAATGACGGAATTTCAGGCGTGCGAAAACTGTAATTGCTGGGCAAGAAGCAGAAAAGCAAAAAAAAAAAAAAAAAATGATTCCGGTCCCGCATCGGCAGCCGAGCACACTATTTCCACAAGGACAGGAAGGCGGTTACTATGGATCACTAATCAGCGTTTATCCATTTGGTTACCTGCTGTTTACCTGTGGGGGAGGGTCTCTCAGTGATTGGAGAACTAGCAGAGGAGTGTTACTGTGGCAGGCCTTGTGTAACATCAAAGAGCCCTACTTATTGATCGAGTGTGTTTTAACCCCCCTCTTCCCTCCCCTCCCCGTCACTCTCACATATGTCCTAACAACACTCTCCTCCCGTGTGTTTTTTTTCCCACCCAGGAACTCCCGATTCGTTCTCTCAGCTGCTCACCTGCCCGTACTGCGCACGAGGCTACAAGCGTTACAGCTCCCTGAAGGAGCACATCAAGTACCGCCACGAGAAGACGGAAGAGAGCTTCAACTGCCCCGAGTGCAGCTACAGCTTCGCGTACCGCGCTCAACTGGAGCGGCACATGACGGTCCACAAGGGTGGACGGGATCAGGTAAAAAAAAAAACAACTGACTGACAAACTGGTGAGGGCTGGATACTGATAAAACCCCCTCACTGGTTAAACTGAAAAATCTCCCTTTCTGGTATATTTCTGGTCTTTTGATTTAATTTACAGTAGTTTTTCTTCTCTTAGTGTTGTAAGGTATAAGTGGAAATGCATTTTTAATTTTTTCAATCTAGATACTAATCCTACTCTGGTGCAACATTTTGCAGGACTGTCTGAAAGCAGGTAGTGAGAAAGTAGTCAAATACTTAGATATACTGTATACTTACTAATACTTGCCTATATTTGTATACTTTGTATTCTGTGCTTCAGTTTGATATTCTGATATTTATATGCATCATGTTACACAAATAGTCAGTGAGGCTGGATTGGTTCGCTGGTTGGCCAGAAGGTTTCAGTGGCGTGCGGTAGTGATTACGCACCGACAAAGTGATCCTAAATTATGCAAACCTACATGGAAGCGTTGTCTCCAGCAGCTCGCTTCCAGACACGACAAACAAACATGAACTTTTGCCCCTCGATTGATTAATGACACCGCGACGTGAATTAGCAGCAGTTCAAAGGTTGTGTTTTCATGGTGCATCTCGCTGAACGTCCCCCTCTCACCCCTGGTCTGACAGAGACACGTCACACAGTCGGGAGGCAATCGTAAATTCAAGTGCACTGAATGTGGCAAAGCATTTAAATACAAGCACCATCTGAAGGAGCACCTACGCATCCACAGCGGTGAGTGGACAACCCCTGTCACCATGGCAGCATTCCGCCCGTGTGTGTGTGTGTGTGTGTGTGTGTGTGTGTGTGGGTATTGGTGTGTGCATGCACGTGATACTGTACACGTCTTTGCCATTAATCTCTGTTGGCCACAGATGCTTCCATTATACCAATATTTATGTTTTATTTATGTTTTTGCCAATTCCCTGTATTTAGATGTCCTTCATTGTGTTTCAGTCCTCGTGTGCTCTTCCTTAATGTGCCATAATTGTGTTTCTTTTGGCATTATGGGACAGCAATTAGAGAGGGGCATTTCCCAACGGTGCCATTACATCAGCGTTTAAGCATCATTGAAATGCATTAGAGCTTTTTCCTACCGCACTGCTCATAGCCTAGCTCGCTCATTTAGCTTCATTCACTAATGGAAATCTGTTTCCCCCCCTCCCTTCCTTTCTCTCTGCTGTACACACATGGTTTTATTCAGGAGAGAAACCCTACGAGTGCTCCAACTGCAAGAAGCGCTTTTCCCACTCGGGCTCATACAGCTCCCACATCAGCAGTAAGAAGTGCATCAGCGTCATCTCAGTCAACGGCAGACCGCGCTCGGGGAACGCCAAAACCCAGACCCAGGGTCCGTCGCCGGCGCTGCCCACGTCACCCTCGGCCCTCCGCACCCAGATCAGGGAGAAGCTGGAGCACAGCAAGCCCCTGCAGGAGCAGCTGCCACTCAATCAGATCAAGACCGAGCCAGTGGACTACGAGTACAAGCCGACGTTGATAACACCCTCAGCCATGGCCGCTATGAACGGTGGGGTTTTCAATGGAGGTGCTGCAGCTTCTCTGCAGGGCACAGTGCAGGCCGTGGTCCTGCCCACTGTGGGGCTGGTGTCTCCCATCAGCATCAACCTGGCAGACCTGCAGAATGCTCTCAAAGTGGCCGTGGACGGTAACGTCATTCGTCAGGTGCTGGAAAGCAATGCCAAAGGCCAGGGGAACTCTGGGTTAACCACTGGAATGCTCCATCCCGCACAGCAGCAACTCATCTCAGCCATCAGTCTGCCCCTTGTGGGCCAGGATGGAAATGCAAAAATCATTATAAACTACAGTTTGGACCCCAGCCAGGGCCAGCTCATTGCCCATAACCTGAAGAAAGAGCCTGAGCCCACCTCACCAGGCCAGACCACCACTGACACCTTTAAGTCCCAGAAACTCCCCGAGGATCTAACCATCAGGGGAGCCAGGCCCAATGAAACTAAAGAAAAAGAGGAAAAGACCACTAAAACTTGTCTCCTGTGTGATAACTGTCCCGGTGGGCTGGAAGCACTCCATGCCCTCAAGCACTGCAAGAAGGACAGCCTCAGGCTGAATGGAGCGGGCCTGGATAAGTCTGAGTCTGCTGTCGCTGCCTTGCTGTCAGAGGGAGGTCTCTGTAACCAGCCCAAGAACCTCTTGTCCCTGCTCAAGGCCTACTTTGCTTTAAATGCAGAGCCCACTAAGGACGAGCTGGCGAAGATCTCTGACTCAGTCAGCCTGCCAACCCATGTGGTTAAGAGGTGGTTTGACAAAATGCAGGAGGGTCAGATATCACTGGGTGCCCCAACACCTCCCTCGGAGGAGGAGGACACCTGTGAAGCTAGCAGCGTGGTGTCTCTGGTCCCAGGGAAGGACACGGCCAATATGAGCCCTTCCGGGACCCAGGGCAGCCCGACACAAGCCACCCCAGCGGAGGTCAACGGCACTCACAGCACGCCGGCCTCTCCCTCACCACTAAACCTGACAGCTGGCGGTCCCATCCCAGCCCCGCCTCCCCAGAGCACTGAGGGACCCCTAGACCTGTCGCTGCCAAAGCCCACCAGAGAGGAAGCGGAGAGAGTGGTGGCTAAAGCCCGCGTTTACCCCTCCCCTTCCTCCGGCTCTACCAATGTGGATGAACCCCTAAACTTAACTTGCACAAAGAAAGAGGCATCGCCACTCTCAGCCATGGGCGTCAGCCCCATCGCACTGTACGCCAGCCAGCTAGGTGCCAAACCCCTCGACATTGTGACCACAATGCAATGCCTACGGGCACTCGCCACTAACAGCAAACATACTATCCTGATCCCCCAGCTGGCTTACACCTATACCACTACAGCAAGCAGCCCTGCTGGGACCGAGATGCAGGAAACCATCCACCTCAACGGAGTGAAGGTGTGCAATCATTTCTTCCCCCAGATTAGCAACAGTTGAGCGTCCCTGTCTTTGTTAAATGCATAGTTTTGACATTTTGGAAAATATGCTGATTTGCTTCCTTGCTGTGAGTTATATGAGAAGGTACTACTCTCATATTTGTATGTTAAACATCAAGCTACAGACAGCAGACAGTCAGTTTACATGTAGCTTAGCATAAAGACTGAAAACGGGGAAACAGCAAGCCGGGCTTTGGCCAAAGTTCAACCAACCGGCACCTCTAAAGCTCACTAATGTCATAATTAACGTGTTTGTTCGATGCATAGAAAAAGAGCAGTAGAAAAGAAAACGTTTCATTATAGTTTTATGGATAGATGCCTAATGGATTAATTTGAGATTACTTGGCAATCAGTGGATATTCTAAACAAAGTATAGCTCTTTAATTAGTGAGATTTAGAGCTGCTGGTAGACAGATTTTATTACCTTTGGACAAAGCCAGGCTAGCTGTCTTGTGCTAAGCTAAGTGGCTGGCTGTAGCTTTATATTTACTGTACAGACAGGAGAGTGGTATCAATCTTCTCATCTGACTCTTGCCAAGAAAGCTTAACAAGCAAACCAAAACATTACTTTAATTACTTGTCTCTACTCTTCAGTTACCGTATACAAGGGAGGATGTTATTTCTAAATGCTCACAGCTTTATTTGCCTCGTCAGCATTTCAGAGGTCTTGTTACCCTAGTTTCATTGGCACAGGTCTGACAGTACAGTTGCCCTTTACACTACGATGCTGCTGGAGTTTGGTCGCCTACAGCAAACAGGTTTGACTCAACCGGTTGATAGCAGATAGTGTTTGAAAGAACTCGGTGACTAATCCGTTAGCCATTTTGAGAAGCAAGTGGTTTGGAATCAAGTTGTCTTTTCTCTCTCTAGGAGCGATCAGTCAAACCCCTCAGTCCAGATCATTACTTCTTATTGTTCAAAATCCACCAGGACATGATAGATAGCGTGAAACCATCCAAAATGTGATCAATAAGTCATATATAGAAACGTCAGAATTCAGGCCTTTGTTAAAAAATGATAGCCCTTAATAGTTCTTCATTGTGCAGACGCCTAATGATGGATGTAGATCTCTCCGGGTGTGTGAGTGATCTTCCCGGGCTGTCACCCAGAGGACACGAGGCTGCACTTTACTGCAGAGCCCCTATTGATCTGCTGGAATCTGTTTAAACGGCACACCTCCGCCTGCCTCATTGATTTATTGTTGTTGTATTATACTTTGGTGTTAAGTGGATTGGCATAGACCTGCCTTGTAAAACGAAAGAGCTCTGTGTATATATCATCTCCTTAATATTGCCCCACATCCTGTTCTGCTGCATCAGTAGATGAGTTTTACCAGCCCGGGGACAGCAGGAAACTGGAGGTGTGCTCGTAAGGGAACAGGGCCGAGGAAAAGATGGCTCACCCATAACACAAGTTGTTCATTAGTATTGGTACATTTCTGAGTCATTCATCGTCCAAACATTTTGAATACATCTGTGATTTCTCACATTCCCCAGGAGGAGAAGCAGGACACGGGCTCAGAGGGCGTGTCCACCGTGGAGGAGCACAACGACTCCGACTCGGGCCCCGCGCGGAAGAAGATGAAGAAGACGGACGGCGGCATGTACGGCTGCGACCTGTGCGACAAGATCTTCCAGAAGAGCAGCTCGCTGCTGAGACACAAATACGAACACACAGGTAAATACGACCTCTCATGTGTGTCCCAGGCCCACACTCAAACACAAGCCAAACAAATCACAGAGAAATCTGAACCGGAACTTGTCTCACCAGCACTTGCTGTTCTTGGGAAAGATGAGTCAGAGTGCGAGTGAAAGGGGGATTTTGAGCTGCAGCGTAAAGAAGGGTGGACACCTCCATTCCAGCAGGTATTACTCAACACGCGCAGAAGAGGTCTGGGAATTTCTTTCCGCCAACTCCCCACCTCTGCACTGCCAGCTTCTCATGTGAAGCCCCGAGTGTTGCAAGAGGCGAGCTCTGGTAGTGATTTGCATTGCTCTAAGATGATGATTCCGTGGCCAAGTGCGGGTCAACGCTCTCAGAGGCGTTTATATATTTTTTTTCTTACTCCGATACCTGGCTTGCAACTGTAGTTTTCAGCTCCAAATGACCTCATCCCTAGGTGAGAAGCAGGTCCCTGCCTGGATAACGTTTCCTCGAAGGTTTGCGAGCACAATTGTTGTGATTTTGCTGTATTGTTGTGAAATGTCCCCCTTGGATACACTGATGATAGTTGCTGTTTCGGGCCTGTCAGCCTTCCATGCAACAATGTTGGGGGGGGGGGGGGGGGGAGTGTTTATTCCTCCCATGCCTGTGCCTTTTTAATTCAAGTGTTTTCACTCCTAAATGTTGAAGCACATTTTATTGTCTCTGTCCTCCGCAGGGAAGCGACCTCACGAGTGCGGCATCTGCAGCAAGGCCTTCAAACACAAGCACCACTTGATCGAACACATGCGTCTCCACTCGGGGGAGAAGCCGTACCAGTGCGACAAGTGCGGCAAGCGCTTCTCACACTCGGGCTCCTACTCCCAGCACATGAACCACCGCTACTCCTACTGCAAGAAGGAGACGCAGGGCCAAGGCGGAGGCCGGGAGAGCCCCGAGGAGGACGCCGAGGCCCGGGCCGAGATGGAGGCACTGAGCCGGCTGGAGCGGCTCCTGGCGCCCTCCCAGCTGGACCTGGACGAGCGAGGGAGCAGCGCAAGGGAGGACGAGGAGAGTGAGGAGGAGGAGGAGGAGGAGGAGGAGGAGGGCGCGGTGGACATGGATGACATCCAGGTGGTGCAGATAGGAGACGAAGGAGGGGATGAGGAGGAGGAGGAAGAGAGGAATGAGGAGGAGACGGAAATAGTATTGGAGGAGGGAGGAGGAGGGGAGGAGAGGAATGAGGAGGAGACGGAGAGAGAATTGGTGGAAGCAGGAGGAGAGGAGCAGAGGAATGAGGAGGAGAGGGAGAGCGAATTGGTGGAAGCAGGAGGAGAGGAGAGGAATGAGGAGGAGATGGAGAGAGGATTGGTGGAGGACGGAGAAGAGGAGGAGAAGACAGTGATGGAGGCTAAAGAACAAGACGAGGAGGCTGACTCAAGGCGGGAGGAGGTGCTCGAGAGCATTCAGGAAGAGGAGGATGCCAAGGAGGAGGAAGAGAAGGCGATGGATGCAGAGGAAGGGGTGACGGAAGAGGGGAAAGCAGAGGTGGAGGTCACAGAGGGGAGTGGAGGCGAAACAGACACTGTTTCTGGAGAGCAGAACCAGACGCTGCAGGAGAAAGGAGACACTGACTGAAAGAGGAATCCGACTCCTCCACGAGACACAATCAGATTCCTCCTCCCCCCCCCCCCCCCGTGCGGAGGAAGAACGCAGGAGATGATGTCCGGTCACTCTGACAGTCCGTTTCAGTTCACTACTGTGTAGAAATCCAGGTGTGCCTGAAAAAAAATACTAGTGACTTTTCCGCAGGAGAGCGGTTTGTTGCTGTCCGAAAAAATCAATTTGTAAAGAAAAAGATGAAGACGAACTCAAATTTTAACAAACGAAGGAAATGCATTATACAGACTTTGGAAGCTAGAGCCGACACGTTTTAGATAATGTTTTATTACTAAAACACCTTGGGTCATTTCTTTTTATCAGTGTTACTAATTTTATCACTCATATTTTAACCTTTAAAAGCTGTACAGTTGGGAGATATTTCTATACCTTTTTATTGCCAATGAACAAAAAAAAAAAGTCAGTATTTTATTAAGTTGGACGTAAAATAAGACAAATCCTGTGCACTACAAGTGGCTTGGTTTACCTATGGATCGAGCAGTTGAGTTGTGTTGTCCACCCTTCAGTATTACCGCACTAGATATAGCACGCCATCACGCCAGCAGATGTTAGCATTACATTTCTTTTTTGATATTCTTTTGATTGAGCCTTAATTGAGCCTTAAGAAGAATAACAAGGGAGAGCGGATGGGTCTATTCAGTCATTTACTTCCTTTTAGACTCATTGTTGTCAAAGTTTCTTTTACAGATCAGTGTTTTATAGTTAACAGTTTGACATTTTGGGAAATAAAACTGGTTCTTTTCTTTGTGAGAGTTAGATGAAAAGAACCCACATATGTGTCCGATAATTATACAGCTACAGCCAGCAGCTGCTGAACTTAGCTTAGCTTAGCTGAACTTAGTTTATCCTGGCTTAGCTAAGTTTAGCTTTGTATGAGGACCAGAACAGAGGGGAAAAGGCTAGATAAAGCTAAAGCTAACACTACTAAAGCTGCCCAGCTACTGTTCCACACTCCAGTCCAGTAGGTGGCAGTGATGCATGCTGGACTATTTCTGACTTTTGCCCCCAGTGTGTAGTAGTTATGCTAAATGAGGCTGATCATGTCCTGGCTTCAGCTGCATATTTACAGACAGATAAGTGTGTAGTATTATTCTCATCCAGAAAGTATTTTCTTAAAATGTGGAACTACTGCTTTAAGTGTTCAGAGCGAGCAGAAAGGTGATCAAGAGACCTGTCTGGCCCTCCCTACGCCTACCCCCTACTTCGAGCCATATGCAAAAAACAAACAGAATCAAACTAAACAAGAGAAACATGCATATCAAAAGTGCCATTGAATATTGCTATTGAATCTTAGCAGCTATGATCGGGTATTGCCGGGTCCCAGATCGACCAATAAACCGGAATACTGTTGACTTTGGCTCGCCACCACACCTGAGCGCGTAGAGCTAGTTCTACCGCGTATTCATGTACCCTAGATTTTAGAGAAGTTGCTTTTTAGTTCTAATCTGAGCAGCTAAAAGAGTTATGATGCACATGCGTTCAAATGGATGATGAAGTATGAGTTGTAATTGCTAACTGTGTCCTGCCTTTTCAAAGCTCATTCAGTGCACTTGTTTAACACACCATGAAACGCTCAGATGTCTCTTCAGGTAACAAAATGTAGGCAAACATGAATCCCAGGAGTGTCACTCAATGATGTTTTTACCTGTCAGTATTATTTTTTTGTCTCTTATGTTGTTTCATGTTCTGGTTCCTTGTGTGTACTGTATGTTTTCCACTATGGCAGTATTATCCCCACCCCCAAGGAGATGGGTATGTCTGTTTAGTCATAGAGAACTTTTATATTTATGTGTCTTATTTTTTATATTTCTTTATGGTTATTTATTACACGATGTAGTGTACAAGACTGTAGTTTGTATTAATACGATAATATATTTTAGTATGGAAAACAAAGGCAAATAACTACGAGCCTGGAAATATGAGACTCCAGCGTACTGAAGTATGTTTTTCGATCAAATAAAATGTTTTGCGAGAAAACGACTCAAACCCTGAAAGCCTGAAAATTGGAACCTGTGACCTCTGTGCATCCATTCTCATGTTAGTTTTCTTTCCCCTCTCTAATATGAAGCTACTGAACTTTTGAAAACTAATCGTATGTCTAATAGCATGAGTGTGTGCTGTTTTATTGAAGGATTACCCGTAACCACACAAACTGTCCTTTTTGCCAAGCCAAAATAATATTGACATTTGTTCTTGTGTTTTTATTTGTGCCAATTTGTTACTTTGTCAGTGTCAAGACCACGCCCACTTTTATATACCCCTCCCCCTTTTAACACCCTCATCTTTTTATAGTGATTTTTCTTTTTCCTTTTTTTCTGTTCATTTTTTTATGACTCCCCATCTCACAATAAAATACATCAATTACAAGCTGCTGGGTTTGTGATGATATTGTTGAGTTTTTAGAATCACGATATTAGATTGTTACTTGTACTGCAATAATTAAGTTAGGATTAAAGGACGACATTGAAAAACATTGTATAAAATAAAGAGGGGGAATAGATTCAGAACATTATTTAGAATTATAATAATTGAAACTTTTGAGGGTCCTGGAGACTCTTTGGCTTCTTTACAAGTTCAAAAAAACACTTAACTTTGTTTTTGTTCTGTTTTGCTTCAAAGACTTTTTGAAGAACTAAAGGAACATTTAACAACAAATATATATATTTTAATTATTAATGACATATTACTATAATATGATTATTGTCAAGATAATACAGTTATTGATAATAATAATATAGTGTGACTATAATATTATTTTTGTTATTATTTATATTTGTTCATGCAAAACACCCAACATATAAAACATGAGATACTTCCTAATATGGTGTGATAATGCTTTATGCTTATTTATGCTTAATTGTCTCCAAATGACCAATAACAAAGTAAAGCCAATGTCATTGGAGCAAAAGGGTTAAAGAAATACTTTCACATTATTGTGCTAAACATGAAGGTTAGCTTAGCATAAAGACTGGAAACGGGGAAAACAGCAAGCTGGGCTCTGTCTGAAGGTTACTAGCACCTCTAAAGCTGACTAATTATTGGTTACTGAGACTCCAGGAAGTGACTGCATCCGACCAAAACAACCTCAGCTTTTAAAGGTATTTATACTTTTTTTGGACAGAGCTAGCGACAGGCTGTTTCCAGCAGCTAGCGGTTGAGCTAACCTTTTCTTACTTCCTTTAGCCCTTTTCCTCTAGCTTCTTCTTTAGCATACAAACTTTGTACGAGTGGTATCGGTCCTCTCATCTAAAGCTAAAGAAAGCAGATAATCGTACGTCCCAACAAATATCAAGCTACTCTTTTGAACTACGTTAATAATCGAGGACCTGCGCATAAGCCTCAGCGACAGATCAGTCACAACACTCCTCTCAGCCCAGCCCAAGGTCAACCCTATTGATCAGGATTAGGTTTCCAGGAGGGTTGAACCCCCCCCCCCCCAGCCCACTCCACCAGCATTAATTAGTAATGGAGTGGACAAAAAATCCATAGTCTGTTGAAAATGATACAATAGCTGGTGAACATATTTCACCAGCTATTGGGGGGGGGGGGGTTCAGGAAAGTACTAAAGTCTTTAAAAGGAAAAGCAGGTGTGAGGGGACAGGATTCAGACTGGATGGAGTGGGAGCAGCGTGTCGGCCTAACTACCTGAGCTCACAGGAGACTGTGTGACAGCGGTGGTTTGACCGCCATCATGTTGAATGGGTCCCCGGAGACACTTGAAAAAAAAAAGGGGGGGGGTGTTGCCGGTGGAATAATGCTTTATAGGACAGCTCATGCCATAACACCACTGTGTCAAACTGTCCCGACGGCCTCGCGTAATTGTGCCTATTAGGAACGTCCCCAACGGTGGCCGCGAAGGCGCCGCTCTGAGACTCCGAAAAAGGTCAAAGAGTGTGTGGCCCGTGACGCGGGGGCCGTTTTACAGGCCATCAGTCCAAGCCGCGACTTAAAAGCCAAGATATTGCCACATGTTCTGCTGGGCTCAGCATTTCAAAGGAAAATTGAAAAGCTATAACTGCTAAGAGGATATGGAGTGCTCTTGCCAATAATGGTGCAAAAGCCTGATGAAGTATCATGGCTGCCGGGGCTCTGACACCGAGCCAAACCCAGGGGGGGCCAAGCTCCCCGGGGAAATTTAGAGAAAAGCCGGGAGGAGGAGGAGGAAAGAAAAGCCTGCTCTCAGGAAATAGCAGTCACTTAAATATCATGTTCATTTACTCAACCACTAAATAGCAGAACGTACACAGAGACATTATGTGTGTGTGTGTGTGTGTGTGTGTGTGTGTGTGTGTGCGTGTGTGTAAATGGGAGGGTTAATATATCACTTCATGTGACAAATTGCTGTTTCAGAGCTCCATTTTAACCCGCTGGTCAGCATAAGCTCGTGCTCATCTGAAAATCTATGTATTTACTCATGTAACCTGTGAGGGGGGGGGCATGTCAAACAAACAATTACGCACTCGAGTCACAATGGAAACACGAGTTCCCCTCATACATTTCTTGAATCAGTTCTTTATGATACGATTATACAACATTTTGGTATTTGGAGAAAGAAATATAAATTTGAATAAAATAAAAAAATGTGCCTTTTAAAATGTAATGAATTCCAACAATCAGTGGACTTCTTATTGATTTCAGTTTCACATGAATGAATAATTGAGGAGCCCACAGATTGGTCAGTGTACAGTACGTGCACATCACATTAAGCATAACATAATATAACAAAGCATAACAGAGCTGGGATCAAAATAAAACGTACAATATGACATAACATGAAACATAATTAACCATATTATGCAACAAAGCATAATATAATGTGTGTTGTGTCTTGTTGTGCATTTTTACGTTTTGAAGCCTAACTAAACATGCTCGAGGGGCAAAAAGTAGTTGGTTAACCCAATATGGAAATCAGATTGCTCATTATGAAAAGCACGAAGGAATGTCTGTGCAACCCGTCTGGCTTGCTTTAAGACATTCCATTAAAATTCCACCAAATAATACCATTACAGATCTTGAAGCTTCTGCCACTTTGGAACTCGTGTCATCTGGTTCCTTTGATTTTAAAGAGCCGACACTCAAAACACAAGTGTGTGTCCAATTGCAGTGGTCAAAGGACTCCAGGGTCAACAATCGAGGAGGTCAGTGAGAACATCCTCTTGTGTGTGTGTGTGTGTGTGTGTGTGTGTGTGTGTGTGTGTGTGCACCAAAGGGTTGATTGGATTGTCATTGTGCTGTATTTAGCTCGTACCATAAACATCTCCCTGGAGAATTACCCTTCAGCTACAGTAATATGAAGCCAATCGTTAGCTCATGTTGAGGTTTTAGGTGTCCTTGTTTTTCGCGAGGATTCATTATCCGGAATCCTGGTCACCTTTTTACCAATCAGCTCAATCACAAATTAAGCTTCACTTCTCCCAAGCGCTCGCACACGCACGCACACACATCTTTCTTCTCTTGCCTTCCAGCTGAATCCTATTACAGTGTTTCTCAGAGATAAGCCCTGGTGAAATCTATCTATAAATGAAATTTATGCATCATCGTTTAAGCTTGTAATTGCTCGGAGACTCTATTCATTTCATGAGCTGGAGCGAGCGTGTGTTGGTGGCTGTGTTGTTTTGTCCCGTTTCTGTGCACTTTG